TATTTGTCAAATTCAGATTTGGCTTGATATAATTAGCCATGAAAAAAATAAATCAATTTGTAAATTATTGTCATATTCAACTTTTGCTTGAGATACTTATGGTAACACGCTTCTTGGATGATTGCGGTAAAGGAAATATACACAAATACATTATCATGAAAACATTCTTTTTTTTATTCTATTTTTTACACGTGAAAAGTTTTTTTTGTTAAATTTTTTACCCTAATCATGATTTAAATAGGAATGCTAATAGAAAAATAATACAAAGTTTAATCATTAATAAAAAATTATTTACAAATTTTTATATACATATATCTAAATTTCATGTTTCAACACAAAAATATAATTTTTTAACATATAGTTATGCAATATCTACAATTTAAATAATAATTGAAAAAAACAAACTAATTATAAATATTTCATTTCGAAGTTATACAAATAAAGTAATCAAATTGGTTATAAAACGAGACTAAAATGGTAAAAGATATACCCAAAAAGTCCACTAATCAGAGTAACTCATTTATTCAAAAATACCACAATATTCAGTTCACTATTCAACTAATCATGTATCTGTTCATGTGTGATTTTACACCATATTCATATAGTATCTAGAGCTTAATTGTTGCATTTGTGGTGTATAAATTGCATATTTGCGCTTTAATTCTATATTTGTTGGAAAGGTATTACACGTGCTCGTTTTGTAGATATTTCTACATATTTGTAGAGCTTTGGCTATTGGAGGAGCATGGTGAGTGCCTAAAACCCCCGGGATGATGATAGATCGATGCACGAATGAAAGGAATGGAAGAAACGAGAGAAACGGGCCAAAAATGGAGGACTTGGTACCTGACACGGGTGGTGACACGGGCTGTCAGGCCGTGTCAGGGCCCGTGTCACCTCCACAGAATGCAAAAGAAGACTTATACCTGACACGACCCGTGACACGACCCGTGACACGGGCGTGTCAGGTCGTGTCGCGACGCGGACTTTTTTTTATCGCTTACCTTTTTCGCTTAGGAGAGGACTTTTGGACATATAAAAAAACCTATTTATCTGATCTTGAGCCCTAGAACGTGATTACGCAAGGAGAGAGTCAGAGAACATGCAAGAGAAGTAATTGGGAAGAAGAGAAGATCGACGACAAGCTTACTAGTTTTTCTTTCTATCTTTTGAACTTGTTTTCTCATGTTGATTTTGAATATGTCTATGTATTTGATTTTAAACATGAGTAGCTAATATTCTTTGATTCTAAGACATGGTAGTAGATTAATAGTTTGGGATTTTTGGATGATTTATCATAATTGATCGTTTTCTTTTGAACCCTATTCAAATATTTTGTGCTTATTTCATGAATTGCAATTGGCCACTGCTTTTACATGTTTGATGATATTGTTCATAATTCGAGAGATGAGTTCAATATTAGATCTTGAATATTTGACATAATTCACTTGCTTGAATCGAGAGATTAGTAGGTAATTGTGAGGATTTTAGATCTTTTAATCTATTTGGAGTTGAATTGCATGTGTTGAGTGGAGACGCTAATATATGTGATTTAATCTACGGTTTTATCGATCTCGAGAGGGACGGTAGGCTAATTTTGTGATCATCTTATAGGGTAGATAAAGAAAATAGTTAATTGTGATATATCTGAAGGAACCCAACTGTTAATTGAACCCATAGTCTTAGAATCTACCATTCCCTTATATTCTTCCTAAGTGTTTTTCTAGTTGTTTTCTTGTTATTGATTTCTTATCTTTTGATTTATTTTCTTAGTTTAGCTAAATCAATCTCATACTACGATCGTCTAAATAAAGTTGGCACTATCATAACCTAATACTTGATTAATTGGTTGTTTGGTCTCTTGGGATACGACCTTGCTTGCCACATACTACGAGCGAAGCCGTACACTTGCGGTCGAGCTTTAAAAATATAGGCGAACAGTATCCGATTACATTCGAAGTTATTCAAAGAATGAAGTTAAATCTATCTATATAAAATAAGAATAAGGTTGAATAATTTTTATAAATAGTTTCCTGTCAAACTCATTAATTGAATACTAAAAAGGCAAGTTTTGTATTATTTTTTAAGTGTGTTTTCATATAAAAATAAAAATAAGCATTAAATACATTGTCATAATCTCAGTTGCTGTTTGCCATGCAATATTGTCAGTTTTTGTTGTAAAGAAGAATATTCACGAATTATGTGTTGTGTACATTTTGAATTTATTGAAAATCACACCATTTTAGTGATATCAGAATCTATTCTTTTCTGCTAATAATTTTGTTGAGTGTATTTTTGTCCTTCCTAGCAGATTTCATAAAATCACCGGTTTAAAAATAAAAACTCATTCTAAGTTTGGACAGACATGTGTATACAAAGTTATTAAATTATTATACAAAGTTTAATTCTATAAATATATTTATTTAATTTTAAATTTATTTACATATTTTAAAATGATTACATAAATAATAATACTACCGTGCATTATATATTTTCATTTCATAAAATAAAAATAAAAAAGAAGACGTACAACTTCTATAACATTAATAAATAATTATGACATTATATATATGACAACTAAGTTTTTAATAAAATAATAATTTAAATAAATATGGTGAACAAGAATAAGTAAAAATGTTATTTTCTCTTATATCAAGAAATAAATATATATACTAAAATCAAATTTATATTAGCATAAATGTGTTAGTGAGATAATATATTGACGAGTTTACAAGCTAGCCCTAACGTGCTCATATTTAATAATGTTGTGGCTAAAAAGTCGACGCTGCTTAAAAGAGGTGGAAAATAAATTATAACCCTATTTTTTTTTAGACTTAACGCTGATTAAAGTAAATAAAAAATAAATGATAATCCTCTCAGATTTTAAACTTAAACGGAAAGAGACTTTAAAAATAACTCATTTAATATTTTTATCCCGTGCATCGCACGGGGCATATACTAGTAAATATAAATACTAAAATCATTTTTATATTAGTATAAATGTGTTAGTGAGCAAATATATTAATTATTTACAAGCTAGCCTTAACATGTTCATATTTAATATTCTGCCAATAAAAAAAAAAAAAACACAACATTGATCAAAAGTGAAAAATAGATTGTAACTTTATTGGTTTTTAGAATTAATGTTGAATAAAAGAGATGAAAAACAAATGATAACCTATTATTTTTAAGACTTAAACGAACAAAGTTTGTGAAAATAGTTCATTTAATATCTTTGTTCCGTTAGTTTATGCTTAAACATAAATATAAAATATGTGTGAGCAACTATTCTAGGCATGACGCAACGATAAAAAACCATTGAATGTCAAATAAATATGTCAATTAGTACATTCACAAGAAATATCTAATAATTATTCATAACACAAAGTTGTGCAAAATTTAAAAATGAGAACGTTAACTAATTGATAATTACTAAATATTTAAATTGTAAAATTTTGTAAAGTGTACAAATAAATAAATAAATATTAAGTTACTGTATAACATGACAATGGTAAAATAAATAAATATTATAAAATATCTTATATTATTTTTCCTGTGCATCACATCTAGTTATGTGCAAGAGAAACAAATTTACTCAATTCGGTTTACGCAATTAAACCAAAAATCGCCGAACGTTAAATAAAACCAGACCAGTATATATATAATTATATTATCCTCATAATAATATAACTATAAGCCCATGATATTACATATAAATCAAGCAACATTCTCACTTAGGCAATTAATCCAAATAGGTATAATCTCATAAATAACATTCGATAAATAGAATAATTCGAGAAATTCTATAAATCGAACGAGGTGTTACAGCTCGGCTCTTTCCCTTTTTTTATTTTTTATTTTTTAATTCAAGGGCAAATATGTCTTTTTAAGGGGCGGTAGGTAGTAAAAAGGGGGCGGTGCTTAGTAATTCAGATAAATAAATAAATATTAAATTACTGTATAACATGACAATGGTAAAATAAATAAATATTATAAAATATCTTATATTATTTTTTCTATATTATAAAACTATGCGTCACATCTAGTTATGTGCAAGAGAAACAAATTTACTCAATTCGGTTTACGCAATTAAACCAAAAATCGCCGAACGATAAATAAAATCGGACTAGTATATATATAATTATATTATCCTCATAATAATATAACTATAAGCCCATGATATTATATATAAATCAAGCAATATTCTCACTTAGGCAATTAATCCAAATAGATATAATTTCATAAATAATATTTGATAAATAGAATAATCTGAGGAGTTCTATAAATCGAACGAGGCGTTACAACTCGACTCTTTTCCTTTTTTTTTTTTTTTTTTTAATTCAAGGAAAAATATGTCTTTCTAAGGAGCGGTAGGTAGTAATAAAGGGGCGGTGCTTAGCAATTCAGATAAATAAATAAATATTAAATTACTGTATAACATGACAATGATAAAATAAATAAATATTATATAATATCTTATATTATTTTTTTCTATATTATAAAACTGTGCGTCACATCTAGTTGTGCGCAAGAGAAACAAATTTACTCAATGCGATCGATATTCATAAGAGGTGCAGTTGAGTTTTTTTTTTTCCTAATTTTGCCCTCATAAAATATGACTCAACTGATCATTAATCCAATTGCATCAATAAATTTATCTCATTGGAAAAATAGTATTATGATTGTGAGCTCAGTATATATATACATAACACCATCACTTTCTCCCAAAAATACAAAAAAGAGGAAATTAAATTGCTAGTTAACTGTGAAAAAAATAGTTAAAGATGTCCAATTTCATTGGTAGTTCATTATTATTACCCATAGCCATCCTATTTCTATTGCTCCCACATTCTTTGAGCGTCGAAAACTATACTCAGCAATTGATAGGTAACATTTGTAGGAGAACGTATAATTACGGGTATTGTATCAATGTGTTTTACAAGAATTTGTATAAGCCCACGATTGATATCAAAGGATTAACCGAAATAGCGTTGACGCAGACGTTATTACACACGTCGGATACCCTGAAATTCATATCGAAGTCGTTGGATTCGGAAAGGAGAGCGGAGATAAGATATGTTTACGACTTTTGCAGGCTTTCCTACAGCAGTGGTGTGAGTGAATTGATAGAAGCCCTTTTGGCATTTGCTAAAGGAGACTATAGAAACATGCTGATTTTGTTGGGAACGGGTGACAGATTTCTGAGTAAGTGTCAGGTTGTCAATGCAAATCGGGTGCCAAAATTGGCTGATCAAAATGGTGAAAATAGAGAGTTGATTCAAATGTCACTTGTGAGTGGCCAGCTTATTTTACAAGTGTAATTTAATTAGGTGGTTAAGTGATTGAATAATAATAATATATGTACACAATAAAAATATGGATTACATTTTTTTTTTTTAATCAGTTGAGTTTTCCGCATTTTTTGTCCCAATTTTATATAAATTTGTCCTACATGCTACATATACAAAATGAGAATAAGGAATTTCGGATAGCAATAACTGTTTGAGACTTTTTTTTTTTTTTTTTTT